GATTCAGTTCGGTTCAGTTGGACATTGAACAACTGATTCAGATCACTGTGATTACAAGAGGTAAAAACCATATAAATACTGTTGGTTTTCTCACACAAACCGCTCGTTTCGTGTCTTAGGCCATCAATGTGTACTTACATTTACGAGTCATTAAATCATGTTTAATTTGGACTTCTCTGTGCTGCTCTTTGAGGTGGTGACCATAGACCTCCATTATATGACTGATAGACAAGAACGGTTTGACTGAAAAATGTCACAATTGAAAATACTGTGGAAACAAAGACCCTTGAGGTAAGATAAAACATATCAAAAATTAATTTCAAAGTGAACTATCCCTTTAAATTAAATTATTAATGGAAAAGCATGTCTAATTAATTGAAATCATGAAGCTTGTACAATATTACACTGCTGTCACTTTAATACGCAGGTCTAATATACACATCACCCGCTGTTTGTGTTCAGACTGTTTATGTGAACTGTGTGTGTTTGACGGCTTGAGTGTAACGCGATGTGAAAGGGAACTTTAAACGGTATAATAAATCGAGCTGAAACCTCACACACATTCTGGGGGAAATTAAACTATTAAATTGTTAAAGGGGAACTGCTAGTTCATTTAAATTTTTACAGAAATAGAGCCCTAAAATAATTTACCTTATCATTTTTTTTCTTCATTTTTCTGGATTTATAATTCAATACACATTTTAAAATAATCAAATGATCAATTAACTGCACACTTAATTAAAAATTAAAAATCAAAAATCAATTAAAAACGTCTCTGGTTACTTACGTAACCTATGTTCTCTGAATAGGGAACGAGACGCTGCGGATAGCGCAGTGGGATATTCTCTGAATATGCCGATTGTCTGAAGCCCAATAGAATCACGCCAATCCATTGGCTGATGGCGCTCGCGCAATCTGGCCCCGCCCCGACGCAATTACGTCGCATAATCATATACGCGCGTGCGCCATCTTCCCCTCAGATTTCTCTGCCGAAAAGAAGACTGTCAGCAGCGCGAGGAGCTTGGCCGCTAACGCAGCGTCTCGTTCCCTATTCAGAGAACATAGGTTACGTAAGTAACCAGAGACGTTCTCTTTCATAGGTTCACTCAACGCTGCGGATAGCGCAGTGGGAACGGGATACCAAACTCGCCAAGCAAAGAGCGCTGCAATGACTGGTATCAAAAGATAAAGACTACAAACGGTTCAAACAGAAAGAATCTGGGAACCCGGGGTCATGTCAAGATCCAAATTGTAGAAACGTACAAAAGTGTGCGGAGAGGACCATCCGGCCGCAACACAAATGTCCTCTAATAGAGCTCCCCTGAAAAGAGCTTGAGAGGATGCCACACTCCTGGTGGAATGCGCTCTAATGCCAAGAGGCGAAGGCAAACCACGCGCCTGGTAGGCAATCGATATCGCCTCTGTGACCCAATGAGAAATCCTCTGTTTCGATGCAGCAAGCCCACGGCGGCCAGCACCAAAACAACCAGAAGCTGGTTAGATTTCCTCCAACAGCTGGAGCGGTCTACATAAAACTTCAAAGACCGAACCGGGCAGAGCAGATTAAGCTTCCTATCCTCCTCAGAGGAAAAAGGCGGAGGGTGGAAAGCGTTAAGGCTAACAACCTGAGAGCGGAACGCTGTGGAGAGAACCTTAGGAACATAGCCTGGCCTAGGTCTCAAGGAAACTTTGACTAACCCGGGAGCAAAGTCTAAGCATGACTCACTAACCGAAAGAGCCTGCAAGTCCCCTACCCGCTTTAAAGAAGACAAAGCCAACAAAAGTGACACCTTAAGAGTCAGAATCCGATCTGGAGCTGACTCTAAGGGTTCAAAGGGGGCCTCCTTTAAACCTCCAAGACGACAGAAAGATCCCAAGAGGGAACTCTAGGGGAGCGAACTGGTTTCAGGCGCCTAACCCCACGCATGAAGGCCGAAACTAACCTCAATTTGCCCAAAGGAATCTCGTCTGACTCTCTATGTGCCGCAATGGCTGCAACATAGACCCTGAGGGTGGTAGCCGCCGCCCCGGAGGAAAATCTCTCTTGCAGGAACTCCAACACTGAAGCGACAGGGCAGTTAACTGGGTTCCTATCACGCGCCAAGCACCAAGACGCGAAAACCTTCCATTTGGAAGAATACAGTCTCCTTGTAGAAAGAGCTCTAGCACTAGCGATGGTCTCCTGAACGTCAGTCGGGAGATCCAAGCCTAAAGTCGACGACCCTTGATCGGCCAAACGTACAGCTTCCCACATGTCCGGGCGAGGATGCCAAATCCTGCCTGAAGTTGGGAAAGCAGATCCTCTCTGATTGGAATCTTCCAGGGAGGCGATTCCAGCAGAGGAATTAACTCCGAAAACCATGGCTGAGACGGCCAGAATGGGGCTACTAGAAGGAGGCGGACTCCGCTCTCCCTCACTCTGGCCAGGACCGCCTGGATCAGTTTGATGGGCGGGAAGGCGTAGAGTTTCTGCATTGGCCAAGGGTGGGCGAATGCATCTATCCCCAACGGAGCTGGAGGATTCAGGGAGAACCAGAGCGGGCATTGGGATGACTCCTGCGAGGCAAAGAGGTCCACCTCCGCTTTTCCGAACACCTCCCAGATCAGGGAAACTGTCTGACGGTTCAACATCCAATCCCCCGACTGGAGTTTCTGCCTCGATAGAAAATCCGCTGCGAGGTTCAGAACCCCTGGGACATGGACCGCTCTCAGAGAAAGAAACCTGCTCTGAGACCATAATAGAAGATGACGCGCATGCCTGTCCAGGGTGCGAGATCGAGAACCTCCTTGCCGGTTTACATGGGAAACTACCGCCATGTTGTCCGTCCTGACAATGACATGGTGACCCTTTAGAAAAGGGAGGAAATGACGCAAAGCCAGGAAGACGGCTCTCAGTTCTAAGCAGTTTATGTGCCAAGCGAGGGTCTCGCCGTCCAGACCCCGCATGCTGGCTGCCCTCGAAAACTGCTCCCCAACCGGTTAGAGAGGCATCCGTCGTAAGCATCTGGCGACGGAATACCGTACCCATGCTGACCCCTTTCTGAAGAAAAGAGATGGTCCGCCAAATCGACAGGGCGCGAGAGCAACTGCCCGACACCCTCAACAGGCGAAAGGCTGACCCAGTGGGCCGGATGCCTGAGAGCTTCATCCACCACAGGAAGGGTCTCATGTGGAGCAGACCCAGGGGTAGCACAGGGGAGGCTGCGGCCATTAAGCCCAGAAGCCTGCGGCAAGTGCCCACAGAAACATGATGGCCAAGCGAAAAACGGGCCAAACATGTCATCAAACTGCAAATCCGTGCAGGAGCCAAACGGGCCTGCATACGAACGGAATCCATGTGCACACCCAGGAAGACTGTGTGCTGAGCTGGAGTAAGAACACTCTTCTCCACGTTCAACCTCAGGCCGAGAGACTGAATATGGCGGAGAACAGTGTCCCTGTGGTGGGTAACCAACTCCTGGACTGGGCTAGAATGAGCCAGTCGTCCAGATAATTGAGAATGCGGATGCCCTGGAGCCGCAAGGGGCCAGTGCTGCATCCACGCATTTCGTGAACGTTCTCGGTGCCAGGGCAAGGCCAAAGGGAAGGACCTTGTACTGGAACGCCCTCCCTCCAAAGGCGAACCTGAGGAACTTTCTGTGACGCCGCCACGACCTGGATGTGAAAATAGGCATCCTTTGAGGTCTATTGTCACGAACCAATCTCCTGGTCGAATCTGAGAGATGATGGCTTTCAACGTCAACATCTTGAATTTCCTCTGAAGAGGGCGAAATTTAGTCTGCGGAGGTCTAGAATGGGACGCAAGCCGCCGCCTTTCTTCGGAACCAGGAAATAACGGCTGTAGAAGCCCTTGTTCGGTTTCCTCCGCAGGAACCTCCTCTATAGCTCCTTTGAGAAGGAGGAAGAAATTTCCCGCTGTAGCACAGAAGCCTGAGTGGCGCTGTTGACTACAGTAGGAAAAATCCCGTTGAACCGAGGGGGGTTGCGGCAAAACTGGAGAGTGTAGCCGAACCGAACTGTGCGAAAGAATCCACGGCGATACCCCTTGTAACCGCTCCCATTCTGGAAAGAAATGTGAAAGAGGAAGAGGGGTGTTGCAATGCAAATGACATACCTGAGTGAGGGTGTCGTGCTGAAGGCCGTGGAGTTTGCAAGGTTTGGCCGTGCAGGAGAGCCCTTGGCGTCCTGACACGCGATGAGAGGTGCTAACGCCGAGGTCTGGGTGACCGGGCCTGCCTGCTCCAGAGAAAAAGGAAAGAACGTTTCTGAGGACGTGACCGGCAGTCAAAGAGAGTGTCGGGGGAGAGGAGAGAAAACCCAGGGTGTCTCCTTCCTCTCGCACCGGGCTGCGTAGAAGCGGTGAAATATGGCCTGCTCTC